TTACGGAAATAAATTCAATACCTGATGATTCAGAAAAATCAACAAACTCAGAAGTTAAATTGGATTTGACTCGAATAAGAACGCCTCCACCACGACGGGTCTGACGATCTTTCCGATAAACAAAAAAGTTATTAGACAAAATCTCACTATCGTGTACGAATGGTACCAATAATATTGGCCTCAAAAATTTAACTATTTATAAAAAGCGTAGAGAGTTTACTGAAAAGCCCCCGAACATTATGATAGTTAATTAGGAAATTTAGCTTTTTGAATTTAAATCAGAGCAGGGCGCCTACAAAGAAGTCTTTGAAAGGGAGCTGTTATACCCGTTACTCGTAGAGTAAAAGGTATACCAGATTCGTCGGAAAGTATGTAACCGGCAGAAGGAAGCGTTTCCGATCCATAAAGTATATATATTCTTGATCAGGATCACTAGCCGAGTCGATCTTGCCATATCCGTCCAGTCCGTCTGTCTGTCCGGATGAAACGCTGAGATCTCGGAAACTATAAGAGCTGGGCTATTGAGATTTGGCGTGCAAATTCCTAAGCTTCTTATGCAGCGCAAGTTTGTTTCAGCAGAGTGCCACGCCCACTCTAACGCCCACAAACCGCCCAAAACTGTGCCTCCTACAGTTTTGATGCTAGGATAAAAGAAGTTTAACTGAAATGTATTGTTCTCATCAATACCTATCGCTTGACCTAAAAAAAAAGTTTGCCACGCCCACTTTAACGCCCACAAACCGCCCCAAACCTGTGACGCCCACAAATTTCATGCTAGATAAAACATTTTGACTGAAATGTATTGGTCTCGTCAATACCTATCGATTGATCAAAAAAAATTTGCCACGCCCACTCTAACGCCCATAACACTTAAGTCTGTCTACCGCCGGTAGGTGGCGCATTTTAATCTCGTATATCTTGTATAATCTTGCTGCTTGTATATCTCCATTTAGCTGAGTAACGGGTATCTGGTAGTCGAGGTACTCGACTATAGCGTTCTTCCTTGTTAAAACTTATGTTTGTGGTTAAAATTAGTTAAAAATGAATAATAATAACCTTAAACTACAGTTTTTACTATTGCGTACGTAAACAAACATGGCTATTTAAGTAAAAGTCTCAATTTTTAGTCCCTGGACAAGTGTTAGTTTCCCGCAAATGCAAAATAAAAAAATTTTTCTTAAATAATACAAAGCTTTTAAATAAGGTGTGGTATATTTTTATACCCGTTACTCGTAGAGTAAAAGGGTATACTAGATTCGTCGGAAAGTATGTAACAGGCAGAAGGAAGCGTTTCCGACCCCATAAAGTATATATATTCTTGATCAGGATCACTAGCCGAGTCGATCTAGCCATGTCCGTCTGTCCGTCTGTCTGTCCGTCCGGATGAACGCTGAGATCTCGGAAACTACGGGAGCTAGGCTATTGAGATTTGGCGTGCAGATTCCTGAGCTTCTTACGCAGCGCAAGTTTGTTTCAGCAGAGTGCCACGCCCCACTCTAACGCCCACAAAGCGCCCAAAACTGTGGCTCCTACAGTTTTGATGCCAGATAGAAAATTTTAACTGAAATGTATTGTTCTCATCAATACCTATCGATTGACCCAAAAAAAAGTTTGCCACGCCCACTTTAACGCCACAAACCGCGAAAACCTGTGACGCCCACAATTTTCATGCTAGATAAAAAATTTCAACTGAAATGTATTGGTCTCATCAATACCTATCGATTGATCCAAAAAAAAATTTGCCACGCCCACTCTAACGCCCATACGCTTAAATCTGTATTCCGCCGGTAGGTGGCGCATTTAATCTCGCTTTGCTGCTTGCATATCTCTATTTAGCTGAGTAACGGGTATCTGATAGTCGAGGTACTCGACTATAGCGTTCTTCCTTGTTCTTTATAATTTTTTACAAAAAAGAATAAAAAATCAAGTGACCGAGAACAAAAATTTCCGAATTTCTTGTCTTCTTTTTTAAAAATTCAAGCTTAAGTTTATTTAAAAGTTTAATTTTAAAAGACTTCTGTGATTTCCTTTAAATGCAAAAGATAACATTTTCTTTATTATAAATTAAACTTACAAATAACGATTACTTTCGGTCACTCGTTTTATACCCGTTACTCGTTGAGTAAAAGGGTATACTAGATTCGTCGGAAATATGTAACAGGCAGAAGGAAGCGTTTCCGACCCCATAAAGTATATATATTCTTGATCAGGATCACTAGCCGAGTCGATCTAGCCATGTCCGTCTGTCCGTCTGTCCGTCTGGTCTGTCCGGATGAACGCTGAGATCTCGGAAACTATGAGAGCTAGGCTATTGAGATTTGGCGTACAGATTCCTGAGCTTCTTACGCAGCGCAAGTTTGTTTCAGTAGACTGCCACGCCCACTCTAACGCCCACAAACCGCCCCAAAACTGTAACTCCTACAGTTTTGATGCTAGATAGAAAATTTTAAGTGAAATGTATTGTTCTCATCAATACCTATCGATTGACCTAAAAAAAAAGTTTGCCACGCCACTTAAACGCCCACAAACCGCGAAAACCTGTGACGCCCACCAATTTGCCTCAAAAATTTAACTATTTATAAAAAGCGTAGAGAGTTTACTGAAAAGCCCCCGAACATTATGATAGTTAATTAGGAAATTTAGCTTTTTGAATTTAAATCAGAGCAGGGCGCCTACAAAGAAGTCGTTGAAAGGGAGCTGTTTTATACCCGTTACTCGTAGAGTAAAAGGGTATACCAGATTCGTCGGAAAGTATGTAACCGGCAGAAGGAAGCGTTTCCGATCCCATAAAGTATATATATTCTTGATCAGGATCACTAGCCGAGTCGATCTTGCCATATCCGTCAGTCCCGTCTGTCTGTCCGGATGAACGCTGAGATCTCGGAAACTATAAGAGCTGGGCTATTGAGATTTGGCGTGCAAATTCCTGAGCTTCTTACGCAGCGCAAGTTTGTTTCAGTAGACTGCCACGCCCACTCTAACGCCCACAAACCGCCCAAAACTGTAACTTCTACAGTTTTGATGCTAGATAGAAAATTTTAACTGAAATGTATTGTTCTCATCAATACCTATCGATTGACCTAAAAAAAAGTTTGCCACGCCCACTTAAACGCCCACAAACCGCGAAAACCTGTGACGCCCACAATTTGCATGCTAGATAAAAAAATTTTAACTGAAATGTATTGGTGTCGTCAATACCTATCGATTGATCCAAAAATAAATTTGCCACGCCCACTCTAACGCCCATAACGCTTAAATCTGTCTACCGCCGGTAGGTGGCGCATTTAATCTCGCTTTGCTGCTTGCATATCTCCATTTCCCTTTGAGTAACGGGTATCTGATAGTCGAGGTACTCGACTATAGCGTTCTTCCTTGTTTTTATTCTCGTCTCGTTCTATTTTCAAAACTAATTTTTCTACTAATACTAGATGCAATCCGCTCTGGCCCTCGGATCATCCCAAAAAGGCGCTGCAGAAGGCAATGCGGGTGCGTGAAAAATTTGAGCTGCACCAAAAAAAGGGAACTCCGGCCCCAGATGTTGGCGAGGAGGTGCCAACGACTCCGTTAGGACCGGGAACCCCCGAGCAAACATTTTAAAATAAAGATCCAAATATATAAAAAACAAGAAAGAAAGTTAGCTTCGGCAAGCCGAAGCTTATATACCCTTGCAGCTATAATTATTAAATTTAAAAACACAAAAAATGATATTCCCAATAGATAAGATAATATGTCAAAAAACACCGAAGCTATAATTTGTTTCATATTATTTTCCTACCAATTTCCCGATCGTTCCTATGGCAGCTGTATGATATAGTCGTCCGATTTTGATAAAATTAAATTCGAAATTCAGAACTAATTAAAAAATGTTATTTCCAAGCGTAGGAGGTTATATGTTAAAAAACACCGAAGCTATAATTTGTTTCATATTATTTTTCTACCAATTTTCCGATCGTTCCTATGGCAGCTATATGATATAGTCGTCCGATTTTGATAAAATTAAATTCGAAATTCAAATATATTTGCTGCTACGCGATGAAAAGGTGCCTAACATGTGATTTTTTGCTGCTTACACGACGCTCAACGTGTGCTGAATGTGTGCTTTTTCCGCTGCTTAATCGAGCGCTCAACATGTGCTAAACGTGTGCTTTTTCAAAAAAGCGCTGAAAAGGGTGCTCAAAAAAGCGCCGAATACGTGCTGTTTTATGAGCACTGATGAACCCTAGGACATGCCTATGTTAATTTAAGCACTCATTTTCATAGAAATTGCGCGCTCATTGAGCGCTCAGTGATTTTTGCAGTGATTGAGTGCTCAATAGGCGCTGAATGGTACTGCAGGGATATTTTTGCCTGATCCACTCGTGTCAAAACAAACGAACCAAAACATAGCGGACAGAGCGGTTAAAGGCGTCGAGTTGTTCAAAAGCATACATATGCTCATTGGGCCAGATAATTATTAAAAATTAAACTACGACAGCAGAGAAAATATCGACACAAATCTAGTGGCTACCCTGCAGTTCCACAATTTTGTTAAGCGCCCAATCATCACGAAGCCGACTGCGACGTCGGCAGAGAAGCCAGCGACGCCGGCAGAGCTGAGCGCAACGGCGGCAAAGCGACGCGCTCTCAGTCGGGTCCGCAAAGAGAACGCACAAAAAGTAATTTTGGGCTCTCCCCTCTCGCCATGTCTCAGACGGAAAAGTGCGTGTGATGGGAAGGAGGCCCAGCAACTAAAATATATAGACTTTTGTGCACCCTTGCCTTTTGAATAATGCAACATTTGTTCGTAAATGATAAAACAACCATTTAAAATAATAGGTTTCTGTTTTCAAATATTTGTATTTCTTAAAAAAATTTATAGGTTTTTTAATATTATTTAATAATATGTGAAGTTTTAAGAATAGATTTTTATAAACCGATTTGCATAGTCGGATATGTCTATAAATACCCTGCTTTTATGTGCAAGATGCATAGACCAAACGGGACATGCAAAAAAAACAACAACGGCTTAGCGGAACCTTTGTTGTTGTTGCTTGTTGTTTTTCTGGAAGGCACGCGCCTTTTTTCGTCTTTTCACTTGCGTTTACTTTAGTGAAGGAGTTAGAAGTTGAAGCAAAAATACCAGCAATTTACTAAATTAAATTAAATTAGTGCCTTAAAAGTGAAAAAGAAACGATTCCCAGGTAAGTCTGTCGCAGACTAATAATATTGAAAACAGTGAGAGTAAAAAACAAGATAATCTATGTTAAAAATAAGGGAAATACAAGATTCCCAAAATAACACGTGGCGGAAAAAAATAGCTGTGAAAAATATTAATTTTTGACGTGAAAAGCAACAAATGGTGCATATAATAAACAAATCTGTGAAAGAATTTAAAAATCTTATTGAGTGCAAGTTTCTAGGGACAAACAAGGAAGAACGCTATAGTCGAGTACCTCGACTATCAGATACCCGTTACTCAGCTAAATAGAGATATGCAAAGCGAGATTAAAATGCGCCACCTACCGGCGGTATACAGATTTAAGCGTTATGGGCGTTAGAGTGGGCGTGGTAAATTTTTTTTTTTAACCAATCGATAGGTATTGACGAGATCAATACATTTCAGTTAAAATTTTTTTATCTAGCATGAAAATTGTGGGCGTCACAGGTTTTCGCGGTTTGTGGGCGTTAAAGTGGGCGTGGCACACTTTTTTTTGGGTCAATCGATAGGTATTGATGAGAACAATACATTTGAGTTAAAATTTTTATTCTAGCATCAAAATTGTAGGAGCCACAGTTTTGGGCGGTTTGTGGGCGTTAGAGTGGGCGTGGCAAACTTTTTTTTAAGTCAATCGATAGGTATTGATGAGAACAATACATTTCAGTTAAAATTTTTATTCTAGCATCAAAACTGTAGGAGCCACAGTTTTGGGCGGTTTGTGGGCGTTAGAGTGGGCGTGGCACTGTGCTGAAACAAACTTGCGCTGCGTAAGAAGCTCAGGAATCTGCACGCCAAATCTCAATAGCCTAGCTCCCATAGTTTCCGAGATCTCAGCGTTCATCCGGACGGACAGACAGACGGACAGACGGACAGACGGACAGACGGACAGACGGACATGGCTAGATCGACTCGGCTAGTGATCCTGATCAAGAATATATATACTTTATGGGGTCGGAAACGCTTCCTTCTGCCTGTTACATACTTTCCGACGAATCTAGTATACCCTTTTACTCTACGAGTAACGGGTATAAAAATAAGAGATGTTTGTTTTTAAAACTTATATTTGTGGTTAAAATTCGATAAAAATGAATATTAATAACATTTAACAACAATTCTTACTTTTGTGTACGTATTTAAATAAAAATCTCAAACATCTCCAATTTTCAGTTCCTGGAAAAGTGTTATTTTTTTTCCGCAACTGCAAAATAAATAAATGTTTTAATAAATAATATAAAATACATAAATAATGTGTGGTTTATTTTTCGTAATAATTGTTTACAACAAAATAAAATAAATCAAGTGACCGAAAACAAAAGTTTGCTAATTTCTTCTCGATATTTTTTGCATTTTCTTATATTTTTAGACAAGGCTGAAGGTAAATCTATAAACAAATGGAAGGCTAAATCGTTCCATCTTAAGCATATTATCCGAGGAACTTGTTCTGTCCCACAACTTACTTATTAAGTAAGTTTTATTGAGGCTGAAAGTAACTATTGTTTGTAAGTTTAATTTTTAAAAGACTTCTGGGATTTTTACATTGAATGCCAAAGATAACATTTCTTTTATTATAAATAAATCTTACAAATAACGATTACTTTCGGTCACTCGTTTTTATTCTCGTCTTGTTTATTTTTAAAACTAATTTTTTTCTAATACTAGATGCAATCGCCCTGGTCGATCCCTCGGAGCCTCCCGAAAAGGCGCTGCAGAAGCAATGCGGTGCGTTAAAAACTTGAGTTGAACCAAAAAAAGGCAACGCCGGCACCAGATGCTGAGGAGGAGGTGCCAGCGACCCCGATAACACCGGAAACCCCCGAGCTCAATTTTTAAAATAAACAAATAAAAATAAAAATTACAACTGAAATTTTTTTTGCTGCTAAGCGCTCAACGTGCGCTGAAAGTGCGCTTTTTCGCTGCTTGAATGAGCGCTCAACGTGTGCTGAATGTGTGCTTTTATCGCTGCTCAATCGAGCGCTCAACATGTGCTGAACGTGTGCTTTTTCAGCTGCTCAATCGAGCGCTCAACATGTGCTGAACGTGTGCTTTTTCAGCTGCTCAATCGAGCGCTCAAGAGGGTGCTCAAAAAGCGCTCAATGAGTGCTATTTTTGAGCACTGATGAACCCTAGGACATGCCTATGTTAATTTCAGCACATAGCTCCATACAAATTGTGCGCTCATTGAGCGCTGAGTGATGAGCTTTTTGCAGTGATTGAGTGCTCAATAAGCGCTGATGGTACTGCAGGGTATCGATTGATCCAAAAGTTTGCCACGCTCACTCTAACGCCCATAACGCTTAAATCTGTCTACCGCCGGTAGGTGGCGGGTGTCTGATAGTCGGGGTACTCTTCTATAGCGTTCTTCCTTGCTCGTATTAGACCGGTTGGTCCCTGTTGTGCTGCTTTGCCGATGCACAGTGGTTCCGTCAGAGGCCAAAAATCAAAAAAACCGATTTGAAAATATTTAAATTAAATTTACACAGTTTGTCTCTAAAATGTGCAATTTTCCAATTTGCAAACCGGTTTTCGCTGGAAACCCAACGGTACATTCTATAATAGAATCAAAAGCATGAACACGTGTTCATTTCAAAGCAAAAGCGCACTTCAAATCGGACTGGTAACTGTTCAAGTTGATAAATTTATATTATTCAAAATGGATTTTGAAGCTCAAGGTATTTATTTTTCTTTATGAATTAATTTATACTAACTTGATATGAAATTAATAAACTCTAACTTGATATGTGAAACCTCTTTGTTTGTACCTGTTTTGTATGTCTCAAATTTGTTTACTATAGTTATACCCGTTACTCGTAGAGTAAAAGGGTATACTAGATTCGTCGGAAAGTATGTAACAGGCAGAAGGAAGCGTTTCCGACCCCATAAAGTATATATATTCTTGATCAGGATCATAGCCGAGTCGATCTAGCCATGTCCGTCTGCCGTCTGTCCGTCTGTCCGTCTGACCGTCTGTCCGTCTGTCCGTCTGTCCGGATGAACGCTGAGATCTCGGAAACTATGGAGCTAGGCTATTGAGATTTGGCGTACAGATTCCTGAGCTTCTTACGCAGCGCAAGTTTGTTTCAGTAGACTGCCACGCCCACTCTAACGCCCACAAACCGCCCAAAACTGTAACTCCTACAGTTTTGATGCTAGATAGAAAATTTTAACTGAAATGTATTATTCTCAACAATACCTATCGATTGACCTAAAAAAAAGTTTGCCACGCCCACTTAAACGCCCACAAACCGCGAAAACCTGTGACGCCCACAATTTACATGCTAGATAAGAATTTTAACTGAAATGTATTGGTGTCGTCAATACCTATCGATTGATCCAAAAATAAATTTTCCACGCCCACTCTAACGCCCACAACGCTTAAATCTGTTCACCGCCGGTAGGTGGCGCATTTTAATCTCGCTTTGCTGCTTGCATATCTCCATTTCCCTTTGAGTAACGGGTATCTGATAGTCGAGTACCGACTATAGCGTTCTTCCTTGTTATACCCGTTACTCGTAGAGTAAAAGGGTATACTAGATTCGTCGAAAGTATGTACAGGCAGAAGAAGCGTTTCCGACCCCATAAAGTATATATATTCTTGATCAGGATCACTAGCCGGTCGATCTAGCCATGTCCGTCTGTCCGTCTGTCCGTCTGTCCGTCTGTCCGTCTGTCCGTCTGACGTCTGTCCGTCTGTCCGTCTGTCCGGATGAACGCTGAGATCTCGGAACTATGAGAGCTAGGCTATTGAGATTTGGCGTACAGATTCCTGAGCTTCTTACGCAGCGCAAGTTTGTTTCAGTAGACTGCCACGCCCACTCTAACGCCCACAACCGCCCAAAACTGTAACTCCAACAGTTTTGATGCTAGATAAAAAATTTTAACTGAATGTATTGATCTCATCAATACCTATCGATTGACCTAAAAAAAAGTTGCCCACGCCCACTTAAAGCCCACAAACCGCGAAAACCTGTGACGCCCACAATTTGCATGCTACATAAAAAATTTTAACTGAAATGTATTGGTGTCGTCAATACCTATCGATTTATCCAAAAATAAATTTGCCACGCCAACTCTAACGCCCATAACGCTTAAACTGTCTACCGCCGGTAGGTGGCGCATTTTAATCTCGCTTTTGCTGCTTGCATATCTCCATTTAGCTGAGTAACGGGTATCTGATAGTCGAGGTACTCGACTATAGCGTTCTTCCTTGTTCTATCTCACTCTCCCTCTAACCACTGTCAGGTAATTTTTTTTTATCTCTGACCACTGTCAGTTAATGCTTAATTTATTTATTAAGCCTTTGTTGTATATCTCTAGATTTTTCCCAATTTATTTTGAGCCTCTCCGTTTGACTTCTCTTTTTTTATATTATCTGATTATCACTTACAATTAAAATTAAATTCTCTTGAAGTTCTCCCGCTCTTAGCTTTGCTTACTTCTCTCACCGCACTTTTGGTAGTCCGCGCACTCTCTCAAAACAAAAGGAACAACCAAAAGGGAACCACGATTATAGAAAAAACATAAGAGAACGTCTCGATTATCAGCTACTCGTTATTTAGCTTTAAAATTAAGAATTGATAAATGTTAAGTTAATATGCTTATTCGCCAAAAATCTCTTTAGTCACACGGGTTTCGCTATACAAGATTTAAGGCGCTGAAAGTTTATGCCCGTAAATTTTTTTACCACTGCACAGTGGTTCCGTCAGAGGCCAAAAATCAAAAAAAACCGATTTGAAAATATTTAAATTAAATTTACACAGCTTGTCTCTAAAATGTCCAATCTTTCAATTTGCAAACCGGTTTTCGCTGGAAACCCAACGGTACATTCTAAAAATAGAATCAAAAGCATGAACACGTGTTCATTTCAACAGCGCATCGGAGCTGTGGTGAAATATTTCAAAGCAAAAGCGCACTTCAAATCGGACTGGTAACTGTTCAAGTTGATAAATTTATTTTATTCAAAATAGATTTTGAAGCTCAAGGTATTTATTTTACTTTATGAAATTAATTTATACTAACTTGATATGAAATTAATAAAATGATATGTGAAACCTCTTTGTTTGTACCTGTTTTGTGTGTCTCAAATTTGTTTACCTAAAGTTTTAGTTGTGATCCCACACGATTCCAAACAAGGATTTTTTTTATATTTATCAGAGTTTTAAGATTTTAAAATCGTTAAAGTTAGGTGCGGAATGTTGCGAATGTAGTTGTAATCGTTAATATGCTAACACGACTTCTTATTTTTTCAAGGTCAAATTTTGCCAGCGCGCTGCAGCGGAGCCCTGTGTCGTCTTTTGAGTCTCTGTTTTTGTTGTGTCTTTGTGTTCGTCTTTTGTGATTGTTTACAGCTTCTATTTGTCAGTTTATTTCTTTTACTTAAAATTATTCTAATTACTTTTCCGTTTTTCTTTTAAAATTTTTGTTTACAAAATAAATTTGGACAAATTTATTGAATATGCCATCGATACTGCTAAGGAATTGATAAAAGAGTATCCATGGTACTGTTTGACAGCTACAGTCCATAAGGTGTTAGTTCATGGATCTTCTGTAATTGAGCATACACTCATGTCAATCGGATAGCTTTCGGAAGAAGCTGCCGAGTCTAATAATAAGGAATTAAAAAAATGTAGATTGTATCACAGCCGAAAAATGTCACGGATTGCAACAAACACAGACATATTGAACACACTCATTTTACGGTCGGACCCATTTATAACTGGGCAAAGAAAACATGGAAAGAAGGATAAATCAACGCTACTTGAATCTGTGCTCAACTTACTTGAGAAACATTATAAATATTTGTTATAATAATATTAATTCGTTAATAGCTTTGAAAATATCAATATAATAAATTGGCTTACAATATGATTGTTTAATTTATGATTTTTTGATATGATATTATTTAGTAGGTGTACAGCTTGAAATTAGACGGGGGAAGATATTTAAATTTATGAAATATATACAAAATAGTTGATTTTTCCTATGGCAGCAAATGTAAAACTACACCAACCTTATAGTCTGGGAGTTTAGATAACATACCTCTAAAATAAGAAAAATTTGCTAATTTTCTATTTAAGGGGTCTTCTCATTCAAAACCCGTTTTTTTGACCCTTTTTAAAAAAATTAAAAAAAAAAACAATAGATGAACAATTCCTAAGTATACAATTTGGTATTCTGCCAGGACCCGGTGAAAATGAGAGCTTAGGAGTATTAAGACTCTGAAGAACAACAGATACATCAATCACTGGTTTGAAGATAGAGTTCAAATGAGGTAGTGGGTATGGATAATCTTTATTAATGACACTATTTCATTTCGTATATGTCGATTGAAAAAAGTCTGCTAATAAGTTGGAAATATCATTATCATCAGATGCTACATTATTATTGAGAAAAAGAGAAGGAGGGAAGCAGTTAGATTTCCGTTTAGAATTGACGAAAGAATAAAAAGCTTAGGATTACTTTGAAATCACGCTTGCAACGAGATAGGTAATTTTTGTAACAGTCAGAATTGTACTGGACAAATTCCACCTTAGCTGAACTATATTTGGTTAAGTCTGTAAGCCGAATATTTTAAACCGTTTAAATAGTCTGGTTTTTTTATTCTTTAGATAAGAAAGTTGACGGGTAAAACATGGAGAGCTGTAAGAATTCTTCATGGAGGAAAGAGGACATGTTCATCAAATAGACGGTAAAGGACCTCATAAAAG